AGTGGTTAAGAGCACTGGCTGCAGAGGACCCAGGTTCAATTCCCAGCGCCCACATGGTGGCTAACAATGGTCCATAACTCTTCTAGGGAATCTGATGGTCCATAACTCCAGTTCTAGGAAATTATTCTCACCTCCGCAGACATTGCATTTCATGGGTGCACTTATATATATGCAAGAAATACACTCATACACATAAAATAAAAATAATACTTTAAAAAACAGGATTATGAAAATATACCAAGTATTACCAGTTGTTATAGACATATAGACTGAAAACAGGTTGTAAAATACCAGCTCATCCTCCAAACTGGCTATACCTTAAATTCTTATGATACATATACCAAGTCCTTATGATCATATAAAGAAAAGTAGACTCTTCCTACATTGCAGGTAGAAGTGTAAAATAGGACAATCTACTTTTGAAAATACTCTGTCATTTTCTTAAAAATGTAAATAACATGTTTGTGTGTGTGTATATATGACAATAATTCTACTTCCAGATATCTACCCAAAACATATGAACATCCTTGTCCACACAAATTTGTTCTCAAATATTTACAATAACACTATCCAAATGTCCCCAAACCTGGAAACAATACTTGTGCTCATCAGTCGCAGAACAAATAAACTAAATGTGCTACAGCCACAGAACACAGCATTGTTCAGCAATTAAAAAAGAACCAACTACTGTCACATTCTGCAATACAGATGAACCACAAAAATAATATTCTAAGTGAAATATGTCAGAAACAATAGATTTACATGCTGTATAATTCCAATGACATAAGATGTCTGGAAAAGTAAATATATAGAGACAGAAAGCTGCTGACCATTTGTGTAAGATTGAATAAGAGTGGCAATTGGTGCACTGGGCAAAAAATGTTTTGTAGTGATAGAAATGTAATTGTTGATTATCCCAATTCTTATTAAAACTCAGAACAAATGATACAGGTAACAGTGGAAGGTGCTTTGCCCTTGGAATATAGTATTTACTAGGGTCATGCAAGTATTTTGGCAAATGTCCATGTGCCTTTAAAGGAAATTGCAAAGATTATAATAGAACAAGTTGGAGAAGGTTCATTAACATAAGTCTAAAGCATATAAAATGTTAATATAGCAAATAACAGCATTAATTGAGAAGAGTGCTAGTAATACCAGAATGAACTATTTCTACACCTTCAGGGAGTTCAAAATCAAATTTCTGACAGATATAACACAAGGACTAATAGAAATGCAACTTTACACCATAAAACAGGTCCTGTCCAAAGTGAGTACAAAATGAACAGGAGAATGTAAAGGAGGAGATGGTGAATTCGAGTAAGGATGAAAGACAGCGGGATGGGGTGCTTTGGCGGTTGTTAAGAATCAGTAACCGAGAGAAGCTGTAAGTATGTGCAAATCTCACCACTGTCAGAAGTAGGCAAAGGAAACACATCAGAAGTATTTTGAGCAAGTACTGTTATAAAGGGAATTCACTATCTGGCTATTACAGCCAGTCACTGTAGTTTGAAAACTGTTAATCATAAGTAAGCACTCAACCCAAACAGACACAGCTATATGCGTCTCCTTGTAGTTAACTCATCCTGCATTAGGAGTTCAATTTCTTTCAGCTCTTTTAAGTATGGTCTCATTATATTATGACTCTCCATTTTTAAAAAACATATGGTTCATAGGCAGAATGCTGCTTGCCTGCCATGCTCAATACTCTAAGTTAGAAACCCCCAGTTCTCCCCCCCCTCTCTCCCCACCTGTGCTGGCTCCCTATTATTCCAAAATTCTGAGCACTAATATCATATGCCTTAAGTATTATGTTGTTTCTATGTTTGCTCTTCTTCCCATGGTTTGAACGTTAAGAGTATCTTATTTTCCCCAGAATCCTGTTTATGATCATAATTTATAGACTATGATATAATATTCAAAAAAGTTTATCAAATGAGTAGAAATTGGTTATAATCAATCATGTCATAAAACAATTGCAAAATGGAAAGAGTAGGTAGAAAATAACGTGGAAAGTTCTCCTAATTTAGAATTTACAATGACACAGATTTAAGGGACTAAGAAAAAGTAAATTGAAAGACTTTATAAGCTTCAAAAAGGTAAAACAGACAAGTTTAATACAATCACTCGAGTTACCTAATTTTACCTGAGGACATTCATATCTAAAATCATTTACTAATTCATTATAACTTTTGAATCTACAAGTCTCTAAAACAAAGCTGTATCTACCAGAGAAACATCTTGTCAATTTATGGAAAGGAAAGACAGGTAAAGTTGTTGATGGTATTGATATATTTACTCTTTAAAATGTTAGAGTGTAGACATTTGATAAATGTGTAAAATCAAAGGCTTACAACATGCAAACATTCAATTTCTTTCAGTACTATTTAACTGAACCTATTATGATCAAAGAATGACTTAAAAAGTGATCATAATTTACTGAGAAGACAAGTCAATGGAGTACCTCCATTGTTCTGAGTGAGAAGAAAAATCAGAAACCCCGTGCTTCTACCAGAACTTGACATGCTTACATGTGTAACGAAACTGCAACATGTTTAAGTTACCACACAAGAACTGTTGTTACCTAATTTGATCATTAAAGATGAGCTCCTTGGAACTACTCTATCACCCATGTTCTGTATTTCTTCATATGTATTATATGACTAAAGTTTGTCACATTTCGTATCTGCCTTCAGGTGAAATGGGGGCATGCCTCAAATCCTCAGAAGGCCAGGGCAGGACGATCACAGCAAGTATGAGGCTAGCCTGGGCTACATAGTAAAAGTTAACCTGAGCTTCATAGCAAAACCCTGACTTCAAACACCAAAAACATGTCTGCCTAAATTAGTCATCCGTCTTTACTCAATAGTCCATGAGCCTATTTTTTAACACAACCTCTGCATTTAGTTGTTTCTTAAAATAGCACTTTGGAACAAGAATGCCCTGATGTTTATTATCAGGAGATATGGCACTCTTTCCTTGTCAAACAAGTCAGCTAAGTTCCTCTAAGCAACTTTGAACAATGTGTTTAGTATGAAAAGTTCATATTGTCAAAAGCCCTTCTTCCATAACTCATGCAAAAATAAATACAAAATTGGGCGCGCGCGTGCACACGCACACACACACACACACACCTGTAATGCAGAAATGACAGATTCATGTTGCTGCTGTTTTCTCCTCTACATTAACACACTCCCTAATGGGAGGCTAGTGCTCCATGCTTGCTGTGTTCTTCCTTACACATAAAACCATGGCGTCATCTATTATAACAGTTTGAGGATATGAAAAGGAGAAGAAGGTGGGAGAATACGGAGTGAGCTTTAGTTGCTCTTTAACTATTGCTTCCACTGTGCCTATTACTCACAGAGTGATAAGGTTTGCTTATTTTTCAAAAAGAAATAATGGCTCACAGTACTACATTCTATTGCTACATTTTAAAATGTGTTTTCAGAAAGTACACAGGTCTTGTATAGTTAAAAACTGGTCCAAGTCCAGTTCAAATCTAACTTTCAATTATTAAATTTCATGACATTCATCCAAGAAACAGAAATTTATTCAACTCTGTCCCAGTTCCTTGTTTAAAATTAAAAACTATCTTTAAAGTACACCCCAAAAAATGTCCAAAAGGGCTTAGAAGAATAATTTTACAGAATAAGGCAAGCAGAATTAGAAAGTACCTGTTACACAGTAAATTTTAATGATGTACCATTATTTCAACACACAGCAGTTCACTAACTTAAAGACAAATGAGATTCTTCACCTGTCAATTTGCTACATAGACGAGATTAACAACAGGTAACCAAATCTTTTGAGCAGTTGGCCATGGTGATTCATATTTGTAACCCTACCATTCAGGAAACTGAGGCAAGATCCCAGTCATCCTGAGCTACAGTGTGAGACCTGGAGTCAACTCCCTCACTGTCTCTCTCTGTCTCTCTGTCTCTCTCTTACACACACACACACACACACACACACACACACACACACCCAGAATGAAAAAAAAAGGTTTGTATAAATACATGTTCTTTTTCACTTTCTCCCTAAAGTAGCCTTAATTAGTTTAAAACAAAATTCTGACCTAGTACAACAGCAACTCAAGCAAGCTTTTAGAGAACTATCCATGTGCTATATAAATCAGAGCAAAATTTTTATACTTTTTTAAGAATGAGTTTTCTTCCTTAACTGTTTCAAATCCATAAACACAAAGTGCTATTTGATAACCAAACAAATGGGCCAAAAAAGGCATAAGTGCAGTGGTAATTCTACTGTTCCTTTAATCACAGTGACAAACACTCCTTGGGAAGACTCCAAGGTCTATGGGGAACGGTGGGACTGGTATTGTTTATATGTGAAACTTATCCTTTAAAGTTCACGCCACCAAAGATGGTTCCATACCCCATTTTAGAAAAACAGTAAGTCTACATTTTAACATGCTCTGAAAAAAGTTAATAAACAACTTGGTTAACCCACAGCCATATTTATAAATGATATAAAATATAATTATGAAAGATTTTGAGGTCCATAATGTAATAAATGTAAATTTTTACATCAATTAATCTATTTTGATTTTATTTAAAAAAAATCTCTGTAAAAACAAATAACTTTTACATACACATGTAAACATAAAGTTTTCTTGTTCCTTCCAAATAGTTATAAATATAAGAAAAATTTAAAGTACACATCATTATTTTTATCTTTTCATTATTTTTATGTAAGGACAACAATTTTAAAAACACAAACTGACAAATATTAGAAATGAGTATCACATAATAATATAAAAATATCAGAGACAATTTTATCATTGATATTCAACTTAGGTAGTCACATACAAAACAACAAAGTACACTATTCAGCTTAACTTATCAAGTTTCTATGGAATTTTTTCAACTTCCTCTTTGTAAAATGTCCTGTGCATGTCATAAAACAACAGACAAAACACATGTTAAAGCTTTAATTAGTATTTTGACTTCTAACTGTAATGCATCAGTGAAAACAAAACTTACTTGATCTGTCCCATAAGGCAGTATGTTCAGAGAAATGAAGGCTGTCATTTTCCAGGGCTGCTTTCTGGTCATGTGCAGTACCTTTGGAATGCCTATGAAACAGTCGGCTAGCAAAACCTTCCAGTTTCTGGAGAGCAGTAGATGTTCCTGTGTGCTGGCTACAGGACAGTTCTCTGTAAGCTGCCATTCAAGTGCATTCACACTTTACTTAAAGTAACTGAAACTATTTCCAGAAGGAGCTCAACAACTTCTTTCAGAGAAGCTGAGAGCTATGCATGTGTTAAACTTCCTGTTTGCAGGGTACGCAAACCACTACTGCAGCTCTGTTTCCTGTTAATATAAACCAGCACGCTACCGAGCTTTACTTAGCAAAACTCCTCATTTCAGCCAGAGATGGAAATGTTAAAACTTGCAATATCTGCTAAAAGGCTCTAGCTTTGAGTGTTATGATACTAATATGCACGTTAATGAGCAAACTACCTATAAAGCTTCAATATGTACAGTAGGTTGAAAATATTTTTGGAAATGGGAAAACAGATTAAGCATGTATTACGACTCTATATAAATAACTGGAGGCCAAATATTAGCATAGTAAAAAGGCAGGTAGCATTTTTCCAGGAAATCAACTATTTTACAGATTTTATGAATCTTTATAAGCAGTTAACTTCATCAGAATTGGTGAATGGATGTGACAAGCCTCTGGCAAAAAGAAACTGATAATACCTATGCTATAACTAAGAAAAAAAATCTGACCTAATAATTTCTTTTTTTTTTCAGTGTCATTACATAGAATGTATTGGATTAAAATTTGTAATATACAGTATTTTAGTAAGGTTTCTGTATTCAATTTCATGCACTTATATATAAATAAACCTGTCTTTAAAAGCTTAAAGAAAAAGAACTAGTGTTAGGCTTAGGGCTAGTGTTAGGGTTAGGGTTAAGGCTAGGGCTGTGGTTATGGTTATGGTTAGGGTTAGAGCTATAACCTAATAATTTCAAAGAAAAAAATGCTGCTAACTCATTGACTTAAGTTTAATACATACAGGAGCTACAGAAATTTAGCATGTGAATATTGCTTATCAAATTTATTTATGGACATGTGACTGTTAACAAATACATTTCAAAACATTCTGAAGTTTGAAAAGAACTACAAAATATCATATTTAAAATTATAGAAGGTAATATAATTGTAAATTATAATTTTATAGGACATCAGCTGCACCAAAAAATGTCCACCAAGAAAAAGAATTCCTTCCTAGTGGCTGAACTATACTAATTTTAAAACCTTAACACAGAAAACTACTGCTTACCTAATCCTCTGACTTAATGATTTCTTAGAAATATATGTTAACTGAAAGTCAATAAAATTTGCCGTCTTCACTTGGCAGGAATAAAGGTACCAATGGCAGTTAATAAGGGTTATGAGTGTTGCCTTTTGACACCATGTGTACTTTTCACTTTGGAAGTTCAAAACAAAGAAGGAAAAGAAAAGGAAAAAAGGAGCTTAAAAAAAATCTTTCTGAAAAAATATCTTAGTCCAGATTTCCTGCCAACTATTTGACAAGTAAAATACAGGGAACAAAAATGATATAAAATAAACAGGGACACTGTAATCAAATTAAGGCAACACACATCCAGGCACACAAGGCAGGCTACTGTAAGGGCAAAACCGACTAGTGAACTTTGCCATATAACAACTTATTTGTTACTTTTTAAAAAAATATTTATTTATTGTTTTTATCTTATGTGTATGCATGTATTGCCTGCATGTAAGTGCACCTGTGTCATGCAATGCCCTTGGAGGACAGAAGAGATTGTCGGGTTCCCTGGAACTGGAGTTACAGACGGTTGTTAACTGCCATGTGGGTGCTGGGATTTGAACCCAGGTCTTCTGCAAGAACAGTGTTCCCTGAGCCATCTCTCCAGCCCCCCATTTGTTACTTTTTTAGTGTAACAAAATTAGGATAGATAGGCAACAGTATCTATAAGACTAAACTTCTGAAACTTTGTAGTTCTCCACATAAATCATCATGTGCATGCTGAATAATTTAACATCTGCCAGTGCCTTACACAAAGCAGACACTGAGAGCCCGCAGTGCTTACTAAACAGCAGGCGCTCAGAGAGCCCCACTCCTTTGGTTAAGAGGTGAATAAAATTCCTCAGTTCTTTGGACTTGCTCTCCAAAACAGAAATTCTATTCATCTTCAAGGCTCACTACAAATGTCACCTCTTCAGGAAAGACTTCTACATAGCTCCTAGGAAAATAAACTGTTCTCTCCTGTTTCCACTGACCTTATGATTTTATATTAATGTTGGCTGTTTATCAATTTGTGTTCCTAAATTTTGCTGCTTTATTTTTTTAAGTGTAATGCGTATTACAAGATAATAAACACATAGGTGAAGCATTCACTTTGAACAACTGAAAGGTCTAACTAGAATCACCAAATACTAGAAAGCATTTTATTTATAAAGGACTATATCTGTAAATAATCCAATAAGCACCACACCATATAAAGAGACAACAGCAATAGAAGAAATGTTACTGGACTTTTCGTTTTCTACACTGATTTGAAAATTTCTCACACTCTTTCATGCTCCCACTTTCACTCAATACAAACACCCATTTCTGAGGTAACCGCTTTTGTCCTTGTTGCCAGCCAAACCTCCAAACATCTCCGATATACTAGTCTCCCCTGAACACCACACCAAGAGATTTCCTCGCTAAACCAACTAATGCTAACATATTTGACAATACTTAAAGAACACTGAGATTAATTTATCTACAACACATAAACTTTACTAAAAAAAAAAAAAAAGTAAATTCACTGAATTATCTTGAATATGCTGTATTTGAAACCTGTTCTTTTTTTTCCCAATAAAATGGCTTCCATATGTCATGAAGGAGAACTTGCAGAAGGTAGACTATTTGGTTCTTAAGATAATGTTTCTACGTATGGTACTATGACCAGGAAATTGTTGCTATGGAAGTGCTCAGACTATTTGATTTTCATTTAAAAAGCCCTCTACTGGCATCTACTGCTTGAAAGAAACAACTACAGCTCTAACTAAAAGTGAGTGACTCAAAGAAGCGTTCAGAGTCCAACTTGCTTTGATTTCCGAGATGCCAAAGAATAAATTAACAAAAATTTTAAAATTTCGGACTCATTTCTTCCATTTAATAGTAAACAGTAATGATGTATTTGCTAAGGACATTTCTACGTATAAAATGATCTACATCATGAAATTATTTTAAGGTTCATAACCCTTCACAAATGAGTTAAATACGACATTATTACCTGACTTCCGCCACCTCTACCACCACCCTGTACTGTACTGGGAATTCAACCATAGTCTAACAAGTGCTCTAACCACTGTTCTTCTATACATATTCTCAGCCCTTTTAAAAAACTTTTTATTCGGAGACAGAATCTTAAGTTGCTCAAGCTGGCCTGAATCTCAAGATCCCCCTTCTTCAGGCTCCCCGAGCACTGGGATGGCAGGAATATGCCACCATGCGCACCCTAGCACTCTATTAAGATGAGAAAACAAACATCAGTGACTTGCCCAGAGTCACCGTGTTTTAACTCTCACATCAGGGCTCTTTGGGTTTCATGACTCTGATTTCTCAAGAGGCACCTTTCAAGTTAGTTGCAGTATTTTTCAAGGGAGAGAAGGGAAAGTGAGGGTGGTGGGCAGGATTGGCTGTTGGATCTATTATTAGGGGTCTGAGGCTCTGCCAGGAGTGTTTTCCTTCAGCGGGTCACCTTGGTGCCTTTCAGCTTCACTGTCCACGTCTGTGTTTACAACCATGCTGGGGTCAAGCAAAACAACATACAGAAGTTTGAAGGTTAAGGAAGACATGGAATCATATTTAATATACAAATGATGTTTCCATCACATGGAGGACAAATGACATGACCATAACCTTGTTATTCAAATAAAGGTTTGAGCTGGGCCTGGTAGCACACACATTTAATCAGCATTTCCTGGCTATGAGCACCAGGCAAGCAAGAGCTACACAGTCAGCCCTTGTCTCAAAACCAAACCAAACCAAACCAAACCAACAAAAACCAAAACAACACAGCAAAGCAAAAAACAAAGATTTGAGGGTAATAGTTTTTGCTTTTTCTAAAATGTTATCTAAGTGGCCTCATACTATATGTGACTTTTAAAAGGCTGGTTCCTCAGATCCTCAAACGACCTTAAGAGTAAAAATAAATTGGTTTATCTGGACCAACTGTATGGCCTTAAACACCCAAAAGGAAAGTATAACCAAAGATTAAATGGGCCAACATAACTTCATAAGAGTCTATAT